AAAATAAGATAATCAAGTGTTTTAAATAAATTTTAGAGGTAATGTGATAAACTTAAGATAAACTTAAAGTAAACTAAAGATAAACTTAGGATAAAACTTAAAATAAACTTAAGATAAACTTAAATATTTAATTTTTTTTTGCGTCGATAGTTTTTTAAAAAATGATTTAGTAAAAATACTGATAATAAACTTAACATTATCAAGAGTTAAAATAATTTTAAAGGTAATGTGATAAACTTAAGATAAACTTAAAACAATCTAAAATTATATAGAAGTGGTCTATGATTGAAATAGAAAAGACAAGCTATCGTTGAAGCAGAATTGTTTTAAAATGCTCGTCTTTTGAGAAAAAAAAACTTTTACAGAAGTACAGATACGTCTTTAAGCCTATGATATATCATTCGAGTACTGAGCGGAGTGGGCTTGGCCCACAACTGGGCTTATGCTTGGGAAATCCATATTTAACACCTCTTTAGGGTCACTACTGTAGGCCTATAAATACCAAGTCTCAAGCCTCAAAAAACAAGAGATCCCTCATAATACACGCACGACTTTTCTTCTCTCCCAAGAGAGAGAAAACCGATAGACTATTGTGAGTTCTTGGGAGTTTGTGAGATTTGAGAGCTTCGTTCAATCGCCCCACCAAGAACGTTCGAAAGGTGTTTGGGTAATAAAGTAGAAGATTTGTCGGTCTTTTATTCGTATCTTATCTACATATATTCGCAATCCCTCAGTGTTTCTATAACTCATGGGGTTGTCCGTTATTCATGAAAATCGAAGATTATGACCACCGGAAATCGGTGCTAATAAAATATCAATCCAAAATTGCTATTATAATAGCAAACTTTACAACCAAACTTTGTAAATACACCTGTGTACTTTTATATTAAAATGTCCTAATTTAAAATTTTAAAAAAGAAACATAAATAATATTTCATAGTATAAATATACACTAGTACAACACTCGTGTATTACACGGGTACCTGTTAAAAAATTATTGTTAAATTTTAAAATTAATGAGAATAATTATTTTAAATTTTATTTACTTTTTTTACAAAAAATATAAATTATTATACGGTTTTGCTATGAAGCCAGCACTTGGCTCCATAGTGGAACCAACCTTCTATATACAACAAGCAAACCATACCATATTAATAAAATTATTAGTATTATTTAAGTAATCAGAGAATATGGTATGGTTTACTTGTTGTATATAGAAGGTTGGCTCCACTATGGAGCCAACTGTTGGTTTGTGCGGCTTACATGCATGCGTTATATTATTGTAAATTTTATAACTTATATCATATAACTACTTGAAATATAAATATATTAATTGATCAATAGCTCATCAAGAGATGATTAATTTGATATATTATATATGTAAAACTGATAAAAAATACAAAAGTTATGAATTTTTAAAATATATTTACAATTCAATGGTTATAATAAGAAATGATATTAAAATGCAATTAATATATGTAACATGACCATAAATAATCAACATATTTATGGATAATCCGAACCTAATTATCTTTGGATTGGAAGTAAATTAAAATCTACCAAAGCCCAATAACGAAGCATGTATTTTTGCCACATATGATCCCGAAGCATGTGAGCCTGCCACTTAAGCTCATCACGTTCTGAATTAATATGTAAGGGGGGATTTATACAGTGTTTACTTTTTGTAGTTAGATCACCAAACATTTTTCAACATGTTCATATTTTTTCGTTAAAATGTCAGTACTTAAAAAACATCATAAACAAAATTGTGATAATTAAAAAATGTGGGTAGTTTTGGGTTGATCCTGTGTATGGCTGTGGGATTCACTCTAGGTCGACTTGGTATTTACTATCTCTGATTGGATTAGCTGTTTAGGAAAGGCTCGTTTTTATTTTATTTAGTGTTTTTTGTTTTTGGTGTGTTGTCTAGGATCAATTTTTTTGGTTAGGGCCGTTGGTCTCTGTAATCTAGAGTGGGAGCAGCCATTATCCTGTTGGGATCAGCTTCTGTCTCTATTCTCCTGTTGGGAGCCGTGTAGTTTTTCTTAGTGTTTGTTGTGTTAGTTGTCTCGTGAGTCTTGTTTTAGTTGTCTCGTGAGTCTTGTTTTTGGTTTCTAGCGTTGCTAGAGTGAGATTCTAGGCAATCATCAGATCTGTCTTCCCATTTTATTAAGCTTTTGATTGTATTATTCAACTAGAGATTGTATTTTCGCACATTTGTACGTTTTGATTTATATAATATTCTCTATCGTTCTAGGAAAAAAAAAAAAGAAAAATGTGATATTTTATAGAATAAGTATGTAAGTTCGTTTAAAAAACATGACGCTCACCAACATTTTGCGAAATCCCAACTAGTTTCTTAAAGCATTCCATTCGTTTTAATTGGTCTGACTACCAGAAGTTGGATGATTCATCTGAATATCATTTTTGCGCACTTATTAAATTCATTAATTGACAACAGACGTAGCCAAACTTCCATTGGAATTTATTTATTTATTTTTTTTTTTTCCAAAATGGTCATGAAATATTGGAAAACCTGAATACACCTTGAGCACAACATATGAATGCTTTGTTGATATACAAAGCAAATTACAATTAGAATAAAATATCTTTGTCTCTACAACTTCCCTTCCATCACCAAACATTCCTTCAAGAAACTATCGAGCTGAGCAGCATACAAATCAGGAAAAGTCCGATAATGGTCCACATGAGGGGACGAGCCAAAATTGAACGATGAGACTTGTTTCCCCGACCTCTTTTGCTCTTCGATAAATGATTCTACTGCTTTAAATGGAATGACTTTATCTCCTGTACTATACAGATAAAGCTGAGGAGACATAGGCTGATTCTTTAAAAGGCCTGATATTATCTTCGTCAACCTCCTGTTAAATGAAGAGATAGCAAATTGAACTTCAAATTTGATCTAATTTACTTCTCCCCTAAAAGGGAAAAAAGGAAGAAAAAAAAAAAAGAAAGAAAAGCAAGCTACCATAAGTTCGAACCATGCTCATCATAGTCTCATGAAATGGGAACTAGAACAGAAAAATTTTATTGCAAGCGAATACATACTGATTTATGTCAGGTAAATTGAGAAGATAGGAAAAGAGCTTCTCGAACGCGAATAACATCAAGCTCTCAATCAGAAAAGGTTCCTTTTCGAGTATTTTTGATGCGTTTGTGGCATGTCTCAAATGATTTCCTTGTCCTGGCTCGGTTGAGATGTAAGTAGCAGAACTACTTTTCTTTAGCAGGGCTGTGGTAAATCCAGCGGCCCAAACCTGAACAGTCGAGTGGGTACTGAGAACATCCATAAAAATAGAAATGGAAACTACATAAAGCATATATGCATACATTATGATCAAGCCCTCTAATGAAATTCACAGGTAAAAGCATAGAAATCATATTTAAAAATTTCAATATATTATTTTCGATGATATGCAAACCAGAATCATCATATTCTGAACAGCATATATATCTAACACGCAAAACAGAATCATCATATTTTGAACGGCGTATATGTATGACACAGCCAAGGGTAAAGAAGGGTCCAAATCATTTCTTTGCTATGCAGCTCCAATGAGCAATATAATTCCCATCATATTCTCCATGTAGGAAACACGTAACAGAGTCAGTACTTACGAAATTCCCCCCTACCATCAATATAATGTTGAATAAAAACTAATCAAATTCAAAGTAAAAATCACACGACAAACATAAAATATTAATTATCAGTTTTTTTCCCATGAAGCTGAAGCCAAAATAAAATTAAAAATAAAAATATTCATCAATGTAAGTGGCAGTAGAATACAAAAAGCTTGAGGTGCTTCACCACACAAGTTACACCACAGTCATATTGTACACGACTAGGAATAAAATCGGCCAACTGCATTTTGTCTTTGAACAAGTAGTTACAATCATACCACCATGCAATCATCATCTATTGAATTAAACCACTGCTGACAAGATTTATGATAGAGACTAATAAACATCAAGTAAGTTCAGCACAAACCTTAGGATCAATGTTGGGGTCCCCTCCTGAGTCCACAACACATCCTTTAATCTTCTCCAACAAATCTTGCCTGTTCTTTAAAGTATCAAGAATGGCACCATACCTGCCCACAAGAAAAACCCACCCAAAGAAAAAGGTCAGACCAAACACATCACAGTCACAAGCCTACCAGAATTCACCTGACTTAGTAAACCATATATGAAGCCAGCAATTAGCAAAATGAGCACGATTATAACTTTCAGAAAAACAGAACTAAAACTAAAGAATCAAACCTACGCTAGCCAGCCTGTATTGCTAAACGTGTGGAAGATCAAGCACCGATCGCGACCACTCTCACTCGACAGCCAAGACACGAGCTCATCTGCCAGCTGCTTAACCCTCGCCTCCAGTTTTTTGCCCAAATCAAACGACAGAACATCCATCACCGAGGCCACAAAAGTAACGGCATGAATACCCTTAGCGTTGTACAGCTCCACGTACCTTCTAAGATGCTTGGGCTTCGCCCCCAGCCATCCCAGTATCACCACCGCGATCTCGGGCCCTCCGTCATGGACGGCGATCCCATCGCCTAAACCGTTGGTATTTGGGCCTGAAGCGAAATTCCAGCGGAAGGAGGCGTCATACGGGCCGAAAAGAAATTGGTGGGCGAAATTTCCGGGTATGGATAAATTGGTCGTACCGGGGACCGGACGAGAGTTGAAAGACCGATTGAATTGGAATTTGGAGGAGTGGTTTTGGGAATTGAACGACAGGGAGGAGAATCGACACGCAAAGTGAAAATGGGGGTTTTTCCGGGAAGGGATACGGAAACCGGGAGTAATTGAATGACAGAGATGGCGACTGGAGCATTGGAGAATGCGGGTGGAAGCCATTGACGGGGATTCCAAGCTCCGAGCAGGGGAAACTAGACGGGGAGCTTTACACTATACTCTATGGTCTATGCGCGATTAAATTCGTGGAGGATCGTAGAGTCATATTCAATTGGATTTTTAAAGACTATAAAATTTTCACAAATTATTGTGTTTGAGGTTTGTTAAGATTTTTTTTAAGATTTTTAAAAGTCCTTTGTACAAAATATTGGGATATTTAACTTATTTGCCCTAGAATTTATTAAGAATTTTTAACATTTGACGGGATTTCTAAAGAAAAAATCTTATATGAAATCACACTTCAAGTTCCAACGCCAGACTCAAATGGGTGTATTCAATTAGGACTTCAAGTGATATTTTAAGACTTTTTAAGATTTGAGACTTTTTAAAATTTTCAGATTTTAAAGGAATTCTATTAAATCTTAGAGGATTGTTGAAGCTGTCCTTAAAGAATGGATAGAATTCGAGGATGCTAACCGGCCTGCTGCTATGGTTTGAGGATGGCAAGGTTGAAGATGGTCTAGGATCTCAGACCAGTGGAAGTCTTCATCTTTGTCTAGTTGTAGTTTTCTATGTCATTGTATTTAGAGGGTCTTTAGTTTCAGTTGTTTGTTAACTGCTTTAGACCATCTCGTTGGGTTATTGTTTCATGGATTGTCGTTCTAGTCCACCTGCGTGGGTTCTCTCTTTCTCGGCTATTCGGTATCCGACCGCTTATATTTGAACATTGTAATCTTTGTTTTATTATTGAGCTTTTTCTATCGTTCCAACAAAAAAAAATTAATAAATAAAAGTATTCAAGTAGTTCTCGTCATTGCATACTTTTATGCGTTTAGATCGCCCACTTTTTTTTAACTTAACTCTACCACAACATTACTGTCCTCAATATTATCAATATAATCAAATAATATCAATCAGTCATTCTTACACATCACATTAACGTTAATTCACTATTCATTTTTTTACCAAACGAAAGGAATCTCATTCAAAACCAACCGAAACCAAAGTCAATACAACTCACACCGCATGAGAATGGGATGACCAATCAAGTTGGCGTAAGCCGAGTACAACCCCAGTTAGCTATAGCAAGGTAGGCAGCCTAAAGTTGAGCCTTACTTGCCCCAAGCACAGAACACAGAAGCACACTAAACACAAACTACAGAAAGCCAAGCAACAAAGAAGCTAAAAGCAGGTACAAAGAAGGAAAGCCAACAGATAAATCAAGCAGAAGAAGAAGAAGATAAATACTCCTTCCATTATTTGATTTCACCTCTAACTATCTCCATTTCAGGTAACCAAGATTTTTTAAAGACCCAAAGGCTGTGGCCTTCCCATAGCCATAAGAGAAGATAGGTTGATAACTGAATTCTATTCTCATCTATTTCTTTGTAGCTCATAGAACATATCTCCTACACTAGTCCGAGAATGATGCTCCCTGAAGTAACATGTCACTCCATTGGACTTGAGCTATTTTCCACACAAGTTTGGCTTTCTTGAGTGCCAAAAAAGATGATCCACAGACTCGTCAGCATCCCCACAAACCAGATAAATAGTGTCTAACTCAACTCCTCTTTTCCATAGGTTCAAAGTGATAGGTAGAATTCCAGAAAAGCACTTCCAAACAAAATGTTTCAGTTTGCCTTTTACCTGCATACCCCAAATTCTGCTTCTAGCCTGCTATTTGATGGTACCATTCTATGTTCCATTCTCTTCTCCCATCTCTCAGAAGCTCATAAACTTTGGAAATGTTGCATTGAGTTCCTGGTTTTAAGCTTGATCTTTTTATCCTGTAGTCCTTGTACCCAATTTTACTCAAAAAGTGGAGTGTTTCTGCCATATTGATCTTCAATTGAAAACAATCACCAGACTCTTTTTTAACTTGCATCCAAGTGATCCAAAGCTAAGAATCAACTTCTT